GCCATCTCAGAATGCCGAACGAATTGTTTGAATGTAATGTGTATTTCTCTAGTAAACATGCATCTCTTGCTCTGACTAACTCAGTGCGACATGAAGTAGGAAAAATTAAAGCACCTATTCGAGTTACCGTAAGATGATATTTTTATAATGTTATGTATAAATTATAACTTTTAATTAAATAAAAAACGCATTATAATATTACTTTATTGATATATTGATAGCAAATCGTTCTACAAGAGATAACAATAAGCCACAAACAAAATACTCGTATATATTGTATTATAAAATGTATTGTAAAATGTAGTGTTTATCAGCATATTATAGCAGATATATTATCATGATGTTTATAATATTATTTTTATACAAAGTATTACGAACTTTATGCTTCTGTTTATTATGTAGGTAATTATTACTTCCTTGTTTGGTTTTTTTAGGGTATTAGTCCTGGTACTGTAAAAACAAATATAGTTGCGCATGAGGATAGTTTGAAAAACTTTTTTGAGACAGCACAGTATATTTTACCGGAGGACATAGCGGATGCGCTTATTTATGCTCTTGGAACACGACCGAGTGTTCAGGTTCAAAATATCATTAACGTATTTTCTTTCTAATAAATAATAAATATAGAAAAATTATTTTACACGTTAATTAATTGCAGATTACGGAACTTACGATTCAACCTACCGGAGAATTAATGTGAGGAATATCTTCAGTAAGAGACCTATCTATTAATGCATTAACAACTTTACAACTTTATGCTTACGATAAAGTAAGAAAGTTAGAGGCTGGTAAAGACTAAGTTTCATATCGCTTTGCATTTTATATAAGTACCAAATTTTTTATATTTAAGTTGTTTTCTTCTTATAATACTGTCTACATTTCAATAATAATTTTGCTAATCTAATCTTTTTCAATGTATTTGCATTTTTAGTTAAACAGAGATAAAAATAAATGATGCAGTAAAATCTAAAATAAGGATTTTGTGTAAAGATTTATATGTGTATTTGTTTTATGAGAAATATATGAAAAATGACATTGTAAGGATATTTATCGTTTATTTTACAGTGCATACTCGAAATTTATGATCAATATACTATCAGGAAACGAAATACTGACTATCAGATATCGCTGTTGTTTATCTCCTACGACCTTGTACTTGTACATGTCATTCTAAAAAGATTTGTGATAAATTTAGCTTATCGCGAAGCAACGTTATCGGCAATGTGTTCGCATGTAATCGTTGCATTCAAATTTCGACGAAGTGGCTGCTACACACACCCAGCAGTTACATCCTGCTTGTCATATGACAAATACAGCGTCATTTGGCATTTATACGTGAACGATTGAAATGCGCGTTTCCTATACACAAATGTGCGTCTCCCATATCTACATTGTGCATCCGTATGCGTGCTTCTAAACATGAATTTCCGACAATAACGGCTTATACCGTACCGAGCTCGACTGTCAACTATGGAGGCATTCGAGTGCGAGCGATAGTTAAGGTGTCAAACAAGTTCCGTCGTGTTTCGCGCAGTTCGAAGGAATCGCGTAGCGTTATCAGGAAAATCGATTTTCGCGACATGCATCGGGTGTCGGGTCCTGTCAAAATCTAAGTGTATGCTTCGTATTCTAGCTCTGCGATTAGATCTCTTCTCACAGCGTTATAGTCAGATACTATATGTTATTCATTTTGAAAATTGACATATAATATAATTCAATCAATATTTGTTTTTAATAGAGCTTACAATAAAATGTGTATCATAATGATTATTATAAATAATCGAACCTATATAAGATATTCTGACATTTGCAAACTAAAATACTTTAAGAAAGTTTTTGAAAAAAATAAGTTAAAATATTTGTAATTTTTCTGAGTAATAGTTTTTAATAAAAATTTAAAAGTAGTTAATTACAGATTACGATTAAACAGCTAAATCGTGCAATCACTAACATCTATGCGTGATTCACAGACAGGTTTAATCGTAATTTGTACAGAGTGTCCTATAGAAAATTACTGAAATTAATATACATACTAACAACTATGATTTTTAAACGTAGGAAATAGAAAAAAATATAAAATATTTTGTAAATAGAGGACATTTGGCAGTTTTATTTACATATAAAGTAAACACACGATTTTTGAAATATTTGTATTATTCAATTACATGTTTATAAAAATATGAAATATTGTCCATATTAATGATATATATTTCGGAAATTTAAAAAATTATTTAACATTTCTTTTGACAAAAGGACGTTAAATAAAAAAATAAATTTTTTAAATTTTCGACTATCTTTATTTCATACGTGAATAAAACTACCAATGTCTTCTATTAAAAAATATTTTATTTTTTCTATTCCCTATATGTACATTTAAAAATGACAATTGATTAGTTTCAGTAACTTCCCATGAAACGTTTTATAATTAGTCAGTTTTAAATCTTTATGCTTCAAAAACTGTTGCTCGGAATAAAAATGACAAATACTTTTTTAACTTTGTTTTAGAGTCATTTTACTGGTAGTATTTTGATTCAGCCTGCATATGTACATATAACTGTACTTAATATTGTTATACAATTATTGTATCCCTTCTAAACACTAATCAAAAAATAAATTGCAAGCAGTTTTAAGAGTTATGACAGTCGTATTACTTTACTTGCTATAATTAATAACGCGAAGACATGCAAAGAATCCGATTACTTTTATTTCTCATTTTGAGGTGCTCTTAGCTGTTACATTAAGGAAAGGCGGGGGTGTATAAGAAGCAAGATGTAAAACGGTAGAGTGATGATCGATAAAGATGTACTTGGTTCATGGGGCTGTCTGTATGTATGGACGGGGGCCGGCATTTAGGAATTTATATTAAAATATGTAAATCTATCGGCACGGGCATATTTGAAAACAGATAAATTATGCCGGCCGTGTATTGCGTTCCCGCGGTAAAATATCGACACTGCGGCGTGGCGGTGCGGGAAGGGATTGAGGCTAACAGGCGGAAGCGGAGTTCCTCGCATAACGGCACGTTCTGTCGACCAGTAGAAATGCGATTTATGACGATCATTGTGTAACGATCATAAATTATCTCTTTATTTACGCGGGATGGCTAGCATTCGCGCTACCATTGTTTTTCCGGGCCTTTAGCGTCTTCCTCAAATAATAACACCTGATGCTTCCAAATTCTGTCGCTTCGTTCAGTTCGTTTACATTTTGCAATGATGAGTTTATCTCGCAAGTTTAACACTGTCAGGTACTTGTCTGCGCAGTGCAAATGAGAAATTAAGTATTTTACATTATGCCAAGCTGTTCTAATCGATACAGAGATTTAAAACAAGCTTATAAATTGGAATTAATAGCAATTTGGCCTGCGAACGTTCATATATTGTATATTGGCTGCTATATTTCCTTCAAAATTGAAACTAATTTCGCAAATGCCTGAATTTACCAGAGCCACCAAATGTTGAGGAACAAACATCCCGATTTAACTTCCTTAAATGCGTTCGTAACTGTTTCTGACAGAGAACAACTCACCTTTCTCTTCCCTACTGACTCGTACGCTAACAGTTGTTTGACCGTATTTCTCTAGTTCTCGTATTTGAATTAGTCTCAGAGTATATCTTTGGTAAATCTAAACAATTGATGAGTACATTTAACGCTTTGAGGATGTTGAGAACTACATTCTTTGAAAATTGCTTGTTTTGCTGACTTTAAATCCAAAAAATGACTACCGTGTGATTATCGAATCTTTTTTTTTTTATTACATGTCATTATTATAAGTTTTAGAAATTGAAAATAAATGAAATAGATTGAAATATAAATGCAGTGGAAAATTATAGTTTTATACATTTATAGTTTTATATAATGTTTTTATACTTAGGTTCTTTGTTAAGAAAGAGGAGTACAGAAAAATTTAAATAATTTGATTATTAATATATTCTGGCAAAAAAACTTCAATCTTTGTGTATGCAAATAAAAGGAATACACTTTCTCTGAAATTGGGGTGCAACGTGACGTGCCGCGATTAAGAATTAGAAAAACGATTTCGACGCGTCAAAAGTTTCGCAGCGTTTCGACTTATGTCATTAAAGCGAATATGCGAAGCGGAGAACGAATATGGCAGCTGAATACAGCAACGACGAGGAGTCAGCCGGGTCGCTAAGGGTTCGCGAGAGGGACTCGGGGGTGGTTGGATAGGTTCGTTAGCGGAACACTGGCAGTGCAAACATGCCCGCTTAAACCGGCTGCGTACGTGCGCCGGTGCGGTGTCAGATTTGAAGTGGTTCGCGGTGACGGCGTGCACGTGACGCGTTGGAACGAAACGCGAACTGCGCGCTTTCGCTTACGACGCTGAGGGAGCACGACTGTTCGGTATTGGCCATAGTACCGCACGTTGGGCTGAATATCGAGCGAGCCTGTCTATTGACTTATTAAAAGCCGACTGAAATTGGAGCGAAGGCGGAAAATTCGATTTTCGGGATTTCGGCCGATTTCCGCGTTCATCGGAGTGGTGCGGTGACCTCAATTATTCTGCCACGAATGAAAGCTATTTTCCCGGAACAACTATACTGTGCGGTTTCTCTCAAGCGTACCCGAACATATTCCTGATAGACTTAGGCAATGATAAAATTTTTGCAAAGATATCATTGCTACAAGATTTGATTATTTGCGAGAAAGAAATAAACATATGCATATGTATAATGTTCTTTTTTTTAATAGCGAAAAATCGGATATATATTATTCAAAATATTTTAGATTATTAAAGAATATTTATAATACATTTTAACGAGTCTAATTAATTTTTGATTATCACGAGATTTAGGGAATGTTTTTATAAATCTTTTTAATAAAGTAAGATATTCAGTAAAATATATTATAAAATTTGGATATTTTCTTAATTATTCTGTAATTTTTGAAAAGCTTGATTTTTAGAAACACATGACACTATGGAGCCACATTGATAACATATCTGATTACATAAGAAAGATTAAATTAAGGATGTTGCGCCTATGTCTCCTCTTAATTGTCTTTTCATTAAGAATGTTTTTTTCTGCACGAGTTAATATATATAATATGGCATATACATGTAGCAGTTAGAATGTCGCAGCTGCAGTAGCTGGAGCGCGTATTCTTGTTCGGCGACCCGTTTAGTATACCCGTTTAGTACGACCTAAACCATGCACGTTATCTCACACTCTGACATCCCTTAGAATCTACGCTTTTTCCTTAACATTGCCGTTGCTACTATTGTCGCATTTCTTGTTTAATTCGTAGTTGCGAATCTGCGAAGCGGAGAAGTTGTAGAATAGTTTCTTCTCTTTCTTTCCTGAATGGATTTATTAATCATGTCTGCGCGATATGCGTCCAATTCGATGCAATTCACGCGCGATGCTGAAGCGTAAATTGTGAAGCGATTGATATAATATATGAAATAATAACGAAATTGACGAAAAGAATAAAGTCCGCGAGAGAGGATTACAATTCGCGCGGTGGGACCTTGATTTTCCATTCTGTATTACAAGGGGCGTATCTTGCAGAATGAATATTACGCACTGTGGTCTTGTCGAGGTGAGCACGGGAATCTTTCGCCTCCGTTATAAATCCACTCGTTCCATCCGTCTGCATCTCGGTGACATTCATGAGGGAAAAAGATGCGCATAATGTTATCAACGCATTCCCGACATGGCCGTGCATAGTTTAATCCACTGCGACGCTGATCCCCGCGGTACAGGATGAATTCCGTCTCCTCATCGTAGCGGTTGCGAGTAATATTGGACGAGGCTAAAACGAGAACTCTGAAGGATCATTTGAATAATGTAGATAAGTTTACTTCACTTGGAAAATACAGAAACAAGAAAGATGGCGATTCTCCCAGAGAAAACATGCGCGCGCCATGGTTTTAGTCCGTTAAGAAAATACTGTCTATCGCGGAAACGCAATCTGGCGAAATATTAAATCGAGAGGATTTGCTTCGCGAAATGCGTTGTTTTAAATTAAAACAGCAAATATATAACGAACATTTGTACAGTTAAAAATACGTCTTTCTGTTTCTACTGGCTTTGAAAAACAATGTACAAGTTTACATAAGATTATAGTTTATATAATGCTGTTTAAAGAGACCAAAAATAAATATGCAGTGAAGATAAAGCCCGAATGTACAATGCGAGTTATAGAGCGGAAAAAGATCATAAATAATGATGATGCGTTACACCAATTATTTTGCATTTATGTAACTCCGAGTGGAGCTTCGCTGCTTAAGCGGATGGTCGCGCTTTTGAAGTCAATGAATAAACCGGCAACGTTAAACATTAGAGAGCGTCAAATCTATTGAGCGCGATGCATTTGCAATGTGTATTGTGGAAATTGGTATTATCCATTTCATTCGGAAATAACATGGGCGGAGAAGAGAAATTCTATTATTGGTTAGCAAGCACCAGAGGTTTATGTACTCCGCTTTATGCGATAACGAAGATTATACGAATTAATTTGACTTTGCAAACGAATACACGACTGAAATTATTCACCCACGCGGATGCGTATGATTTAAATCTGACGATAATCCCTAAGGATCATCCGAGAATTTTCTATCGTGTAACAAACGGTCGTGGTTTTCGAAATTGCGAAAATACTAACAATCGCAAATGTGATCTGTTTGATTAATAATAATTTCAAATTGAAGAAGGGACAGTTTGCCCATCAGGATATCGGATGGTTACATGAGTTGAAGTATTTATACTAACACTATAAATAAATGGAAATTGATAACTGTTATAATATTTGTGCAGCATTGAAAAATTTCCTTTTTGTCTCCTTTTTTTATTTTTCTTTAATTCTTTTTATGTTATGTTGCTTTAATTATTCCGATTTGTAGCGTATAATTTTATAGATATATTTTCACTTAAATCATTGTAGATTGGTTCAAGTGAAAATTTAATAGTTGTGCTTCTTTTTTCTGCCAATATCTAAATAGCGTTTATACGAATTGATGTATATGATTTAAAATAAAAAAAGTTTATAAATCTAAGCAAAAAAGGAATGAGAAAGGAATGAAAATTTATAAAAATATTAATTTTTTTTTCTTTTATAGATATTTGTTGTTTTATCTGTGGAAAAAATGATAAATTTCTCAATATGCATGTAGTGGAAAAATACTATATAATATAAGGTAACAATGTGGCCTAGTTAAACAATTTTTACTATGTTTAACACACATTAAAAATTGTTAATCAGATTCAAAATAACAATTCAAATAACAAATAGTAATTTTAAAATTTAAAAATATACAATATATTATACAATATAATAAGTTATAAAAATATTTGCCATCTTCTGAGCAGTAATTTTTAAGATAAAGGTTTACAACTGACTAATTACATATTACGGTTAAATGATTGCCTGTCCATAAGTCATGCATCGATAGTTAGTAATCGTAGATAACTATCATGGACGGGCAGCCATTTACAGTAGATGTAATTAACCAATTGTAAACCTATATCTAAAAAATTATTGCTCGGAAAATGGCAAATACTTTTTTAACCTATATTTTTATTTTATTATTTTTGTAACTTATTTCTTCAATTTCTTGCTATTTTGATTCGCGAATTTTAAAACAATCTTTTATAACATCTTTATAATTTAAAATTACTATTTGTCTCTTCTAATTTTAGAATATATATATATATATATATATGATATAAATAAATCCTTATTTTTTAATGAAGAATCAACATTCCAAGGAAACTTTAATTATGTCTTATATTATTATATTAATTGAACTATTATGTTATTACTGTTGAATCATAATAATTATTTGCATATTTAAAAACGAGAGATAATTATTAAACCATTCTATATGCGTATAAGGAAAACCACATAACGATCAATTTACTCGTAGAACTTATATCACTGTATATGTAGGAAATAGCGCTGAAATTTCCGCAATTGAATGGGGATAAAGCGAACGCTCATAATTCCACGTATGATACTTCCCCGTTAGAACTCCATCAATGTGTATGGACGAAGAGAGTTATTATGACCAGACTATCGTTATTGCCGCAAACGACTCATCGTGTGGCTCCCGCTTACTTCATATTCAACCGTTCGCATAGGTGGATGACAAGAAGATGACACTGTTAACGACATCGCACGAACGTCTTTTCCATAGGGTGTGCTTAACTCCGGCACTCTCTGTTGTCGGAATCGTTGTTACGACGAGACGTATCCGTACGTAATGACGCCGGTCGTGATTTAAACGATATATCAAGCCGCCAGTTCCGCGGCGCATGTGTCGAGGCATTATCGTCGTCATTACGGCTATTATCGCGGAACGATAGCATCCGTCCCGCTCCTTCCCACGTTTTCACGTGCTCACTCGCCATCAGGCTTCGACTCAGTCGCGAAAATCAAGTTATACCGAGCGCTTTATTAGCGAATCTCAACATAAATGGTGTCTGGACAGATCCATCTGTTTCTACTCAATACAATCCATGGGGAACGATCTCGCAATTTTTTTATTAATTTTACGTATCCTTTCATTGCTACATAGTTTGTCTAATCATTGAAATTATCACAAAAATATTTTTCTGACATGTAGAATCGAAGAAATACTTCATTTTAATAATTAGAGGTTGTTGGTGTATTTAATAGGCGAGTGTTGCTCCATTGCGCAGCAAGATACATCTTAACTTGATACTCGTATTTTTATATATTATAAGTGATTATATATAGTTAAAAATAGCAAACCTTATTGCTTAAGAAAAATTGTCTTGATGATCAAAATGCTGATGCACTAAACTCTCTTGCCACATTTATAAAGATATTAAATTTTTTTTCTTGTTCTTTTGGATTTTTTATCACTATCTTTCTTGGTTGGATTGCAAAACCTTGAAAAGAATGTCATATTACGTAAAAAAAATTATAAAATATTTGAAATATCTTTCTATACAGATCATTATTTATTTTGTTCTTTAATTTAAAAATTTAGCTGTTACATTATTATGATATAACTTATTACTTTTATAAGAAATTAATGAACATGTATGTGTGTGCATATATAGGTATATTTGCTAGAATACAATCGCATATAGAGAACTATTATTATACATGCATACTAAACTTGAAAATATATAATATATTATAAAATATATAATTATATTATATATAATTACCCAGATATCTATTTGTCTGTGTAATTATACGTAATTTTTAAGCCTAGCAGCCAAGGTTGGCAAAATTTCACTTTTTTTTGTCAAAGTTTATGTAATAAAAACTATTTTTCGGAAAAAAACGAATCAATAAAACTGATTTTTTATTAAAAATAAAATAAATTTTGTTATGGATTCGTCAATTTTTTGTATTTTAATTTGATAATCTAGTATCACTATTCTAGTTTAGCGTCAATTGAGAGTGTATGAGATTTAAGCTTTATTCAAAATAAAAAAAATGCATAATAGATAATCGACGCAATAAATCGAAAAATCGACGTAACAAAATAAATTAGTTATAATTGACACAAAATATTGCATAATAAACACGAATCATATTTAAATTGAAACAATTTTTAGTTTTGTTGTTATTATGTTTTTCTCATAAAATTAGAAATTAAGATAAAATTTAATAACATTTGTGTCATCTCCAAAATTTTTGTTTCAGAAATGTATTTTACATATTAATGAATTGGAAAGAAAACTTTATTATAAGATGTTTTATTAATATTGTTTTTATTAATATCACGATTTGTTTTGTTTTTCTTTCAACTATCGTGATCTGTATAATTTATTACAATAATTAAAACAAAAATTTTTTATTTCACACATATATATATTAGGTTCCCATCACTTGTAAAACGCTACGAATTAATTCCAACACCTAATATATTAATTATTTTTATAGTTTTTGCTCGTTTATACTCTATTGGATAAATTCCAAGACCGTGAAATTAGGAATTTGTTATGGTTTTCCTATTGGAATTTTTCAGACAACCTTACCTAATAGCCTCTACTTCTAACGAAGGATGAGTCAGTTCTTCAGAATTGCTATAATTACCTTTTTATCTTTTTAATGTTTTTCCATTTATAATTCATAAATGACTCAGTAATGTGACCGGTTTCACTTTTTGCGCCAATCATTTTTTAAACATTTCTGTGGATTTATATTGAATACTGCGATTTTACAGCTCATTTTGTGGCAAACTAGTGCAAATGACAGTTGCGAATAGATACGCAAGTAAGTATATGTTTTAATTGAAATATCATTTTCATAAATTTATGGTTAAATTTAATATCGCTGCAATGTGAATGCTTATGCATGATCATGCTTTTATAAGCTTAATATTATTTTCGGCTTGGTAGTTATTTTTGGAACGCCAACTGCGAGCTGTGTGTTGTACTTACAGACAGACAATTATAGATCGTTGGCTTGGTAAAACCGCAATCGTTACCGATGTTGGACTTGGGTCCGGAATGGTTCGACTTGGGTGAAACATACTCTTTACACATGCTCTTCTGTAAAACGGAATGAATGTGGTTGCTCTGAAAGTCTTGAAAAAAAGATTAGCAAAACTTTTAATTCATTAATAGTCAACGAATAGCCTGCACTATCCTTATTAAGCTATCTATTAACTTTACTATAGTATTTATAAATAGCGAATAGGGCACATATGATCCGGTTATCTTATCTTTAGTTTTCGATATATATAAGATCTGTTTCAAATATTTATAGGCTCTCAAGTATTATCGTTGAATTTCATGATATTTTTTGTACTCCCCCTTTCTCTCATCCTAAAGTAGTTAAAATTTTCGCGTTTTCTATTTGTAGTATTAAAAATTCTTTGAACTTCTTGTATATAAAACCAATATTTCTTATTTGTCATATGACTTCTCGTCTAAATTCAAGCACTTTTTTTTGACAAGTTTGCAATCAAAATATTTTTTTGTTCTATTGCAACTAATGCATCTTCATATCCATTATTCTTTCCTCTTATTTCTTTTTTCTCAGTTTTTTTTAGACACTTCCTTCTTCTGATCTTCTTCGTTCTGCAACGTTCTCGTTTCCAACGTTCGTATTTTTCGCTGTTGTTGCAATTTTGTTGTTTAAAACTTCCCGTTTTTTTTATAAGCTTTGTTTACTTTCCTGTAGTGAACAAAGCAAAAAAATATTATAATTTCTAATAATACTTATAAAGAATTATTACACACACGCATACACACCACACACACACACACACACACACACACACACACTCACACACATGTTTGTGTTGTGTTTGTGTGTATAATATGTCCGCTTTTTTAGAAATATGAAATTATTTATTTGTACGAAAGTTGTATACTATCAAGTTGTATACTATTAAGAGAGATATTCAAGATATTAAGTGGGCAAAGTTATTACTCCATTCTGTATATATCTGTGTAATCATATATAATCGTTGAGTTTAGTAGCCCCACTCCTAGCGAAAGAATGATTTAGGTCATGCTGGAATTGCTCTGATTATGATTTTAGCGTTTAGTATTTTCGCACTAGCAGTCGTATGAAATTACCAACGCGGACGTGACCGATTTAACCTGCTGCGTCAGATAATTTTTTTATCACTCATATCTATACCGGAATATCCGTTTTTATTAGAATTTATTTTGTGATAAATTAGTATAGCTGAGTACTGCGTAGAAGACAGGCAAGTAAGTATGTACTGTGTTAATATTGTTAATCGAAAGTATTGTCACTTCCCAAATTCATAATTGAGTTTAATATCATCGCGATTGTGAATACTAATGCTTTACTTTTTAAAGGTTTGATATTATTTTTGGCTTGGCAACTATTAGTGACATGTCAACCGCCAACTATGTTCAACGCAGCACAAAAATTTTTCAGAGATGTCTGAGAAATATTTTATCTGTTAGTTTAAAATATCGCATAATTATTACAAAATTCTGTGATAGCTCTGACAATGAGACAATTCTGAAATAATAAAATGTTATTCTTGCACTTAAAATCTTATGGATAGATTGTTAAAAAATTATAAAAAATCTAAAATATTTCTAAAATATATCAGAAATATTGCTAAAAGTTTATTAAAATAATTTTGAAATCCCAGGAATATCGGAATGATACTTAAATAAATTTTTACACTAAACTGAACGAAACTGTATTTTCGAAATATATTTTATTTATTTTATCTTGGACTGTCTCGGAGACTCGCTTTAAAAAAATTTATCTCACTCGAACGCTGATGAAACATCTCATCATGCTGCGTTTTTTATTCTAGGTTACACGATTTTTTATTTACGAAAAAAAAACCCGTCCATTTAACGACAGTGCAAAGTACTAATCTTCAAATTTATACGTGTTTCAGAAACATTTCTATTGCAATATTTCATATAACATATTGCAGAATTTTTTCAGAATTGTTGCACACGAAATATGAAAGATTGAAATATTTTAAACTTTTCTGAAAACTCTCTTTTTGCAATAATTGATGTTACATGGGATCGTACTTGCAGACAGGCAATTATGGATCGTTGGCTTGGTAAAACCGCAGTCGTTACTGGCGCTGGATCCGGCATCGGTGAAGCAATTACACATGCTCTTCTGCAAAACGGAATAAACGTGGTTGCTCTGGAAGTCCAGAAAGGAAGATTAGCAAAACTCGATGCGGAATGTAAGCGGGAAGGTTTCCCAGGCAAGTTATATACCATATGCTGTGATATAACTCACGAGGATGAAATCGATGCAGCATTCTTGCATATCGAGACATTAGGTGGTGTGGATATTATGGTCAACAATGCTGGCATTGTTGCATCATCACGAGTAATAGGTATGATGATTGATATCATGTATTACACATATATTTTGTTAACATAAAGAATCATTTAAATAAATATTTAAATAAACATGTTCTTATCAGTAATGAGTATTTTATGGCTTACTACAGAAATATAATGTATGTTATACATTTTATCATAATATTACGCAGTATATTATGATAAATTATATTATATTAATATAGTATATTATATAGTATATAATATAGTATATTATATTAATTTGAAACTGATGAATATAGATATGTTTATAAAAATAACGTTTAAGAAAATAACAAATATGGTAATTTGTTTAAAGAATAGATATATGTGCATCTACATATAGTATTCATCTGTCTACGCGTTTAATCAAAATGCTTGAAAAATTCAAAAACCGAATAAATGTCTAAATATAGTTTAGATCATCAAGTGCTATTATATAAGTTCACTCAAAACAGCGGCTTTTTAAGCCAAAGATATTAATTATTGCGCCAGAACAAAAATAGATTGTTACTTTTATTTAACACTGCATGTGTTTCTCGAAGCAGCGAATTGGGACTTTCACTGACAGCATTATAAAAGCCTTTGATCTCCTTTATTATGTTGGTTTATTAAAAAAAATTCCATAAATTACATTTGCAGAGAGTGATAGGAAGACATTTGAAAGACTGTTAAATATTAATGTCCTCGCAGTCGCCGTGTGTACGAACAAAGCAGTGCATTTGATGCTCAAACGAAACGTTGAAGGACATATTTTCAATATCAACAGGTACCGATTCTTACGTTAACAATGATTGAATAAATCGCCATAAATTTTTAGAATAAATAAGTTTGTGAAAAATAAACATTTTTTAAATTTTCCATAAATCATACGACAAAAATTGCGAAAAATCTTTTTAGAAAGTTAATAAGTAATATTATATATTACTATTATATTATAAATAATTTTTACTTAATGTGCAACTTATGTTTAATATTAATATGTTTAATGTATAGTGTTTTGAGCCATTATTTACTACTGGATGGTATGCCTGACTATAATTTATATCCCGCTACTAAGCATGCATCTCTTGCTCTGACTAATACAGTACGAGGAGAAATGGCGAAAATTAAGGCTCCTATTCGAATTACCGTAAGATGCAATTATGTTTTGAGCTTTTTTTCTTTTTATTTTTTTTTATTATGTAAATGATAATTTTTAATTGATAACAAACGCATTAATGTACTACACTGTACGATAAAATTTAAAAAATTAAATTTTTTTCCTAGGGTATGAATACTCATTTTGATATTTTTGCTCGCTGAACACGAATCCGTTATTCAAATTTAGCTATCAAGACAGAATTTTGAGAAAAAGTGTCATTAGAGGGGGAAAAAACAGCAAAGCTGAGGGTTATACAAATTTTTTTCTGAATTTTGTTATGCCATTCATTGTCAACTTTTAACTTTAAAATACATTTTGTTTCGTTTCGAAATGATGGTATGTTTTAAAAATATAGTAATTTGAAAATAGCTCTTTTTCGTGTAATGTGGAAAAGGCATTTTATTCACTGCAATATATAGAAAGTAAGTGCTCTTTTTTTTGTTTATAGTATAATCGAATCATATTAAATAAAAAAAAAACGATATGAAATATAAGCAATATGAAAAATAACTATTTAATGCATTTTAAAGTTAAAAATTGATACTTTTATATAACATTAATGAAATTTAAAAAAAAATTTGCTGCAATTGCAATGTTATGAAAATCATCAATCATTGTTTTTGGCCTTATCGACTATTTTTCTCAGATTTGATTCATATGTGTATACATATATGTGTGCGTGTGTGTGTGTGTGTGTGTGTGTGTGTGTGTGTGTGTGTGTGTGTATGTGTGTGTGTGTATATATATTAATACTATATCCAAATTTGGTTAACGGATTCATATTCAGTAATCAAAATATGTAGAAGAGACTATTTGTACATAAAAAAATAGTAATGAGCAGTATTATTATATATTTATAATATTGATATATTGACGACGAAGTTTTGCGTAAGAGAATAAAAACTGCAGACGAAACGTATTTCTAATAATAGACACTTTGTAACAATAAAATACTAAAAATATTCATATATGTGACTGGACATAAACAGTAATCATTGTTTCTGTATATCAGCATAATGCAGATGTTATTATGAAATTTATAATATTATTTTTGTATATAAACGTTGCTAGACATTTTTCTTTTTAATGCAGATAATTTTTTGGACTCTTACTGATCTAATTTTTTCAGGGCATTAGTCCTGGTATTGTAAGCACGAACCTAGCTATGGATGCAATAAATGACTTCATGCAGAAAGTACCAAGTCTTCAACCGAAAGACATAGCGGATGCACTCATTTATGCTCTGGGAACACGACCAGAAGTTCAGGTTCAAATGATCGTTAACATACTTTCTTCTTAATAAATATAGGACAATTATTTTACGCATTATTTATTTGCAGATTACACAGATTACCATCCAGCATGTCGGGGAGTTACCATAAAGATTATTTTTAGTAAGAAGTCTATCAATGCATCAACAATTTTTCAAGAAATAAATTTATGCTGATAATAAAGTGAGCTATTTAGGGTTTGCAGTGATTAAGCTTTCATGTTGCTTTATATTTTTTAAATAAATATAAAATTTTGTATATCCAAGTATTATTTTCTTTGTATCTTAATACTAATCTACGTTTCACTTAATAGATTTGCTAATCTAATTTTATTCAATGTATATATATATATATATATCTCCATCTATCTATCTATTTGTAGCTAAATAGGTATAAAAGTAAATAATCTAATCTAAGATCTGAAATATGAATTTTGTATAATTATATCTGTATTATCTATAATATTAATTCATCGAACGGACAATTTATTCTTGTGAATTAAATCTGACAAAAAACAATGAAAGCGATTTTATGTTTTGTATCGCATACTTGGAAATCGTTAATCACGTTTGAAGAATATTTTTCACGTATGAGAATTATTTATGCGTACCCACAGCATCGTTATTTCTTGGATCCTTGTTTTTTCTCTTTTATCAAAGACCGTGTTCCCTTATGCAAAGGACGTCTTCGTGAGTTACCTAGCTCAGAGAAAAGATTCCAGGGTCCCCGGAGGTAGAATGAGGTTGACGTATTGAAAAGGGGCGATGCTCTTTCTCGCAGACCAAAGGAACGAACGCTCGATCTCTGTCGACTTAACGAGACAACGAGCACCGCGTTGTCTTTCGCGAACGATATAAACGCATTCTTCGATTCTGTCTTTAACTTGGCTTTTCCTGACATTTGCCAGGAACTCTTTCCTCGGGCGAAGCACGCAGATGATTAATTTGCTTCTTTCGAATTTCCATGAACTTTACAAAGTGTATATTCTTTTATTTGATATTTCTATATTGTTTCTATTAGTTTAGGAAAATGATAAAACATATAATATTGATGCATTTATAACAACTTATTGCTACTTAACTTGTTTACAATAAACAGCTTCGTCTATTCTATAAATTTGTATTTTCAACTCCTCAATTTTCTAGATAATACTGTTTACAATACAATCTAAAATTGACTTTCATATCACGATATATAAAATTATTAATAAAAGAAAATATTAAACAATAAAAAAAAACATATATGCTACTTTTTAAAATAAAATAATTATTTATTATTATACGCAATGAGAAATAAATATATATTAATATATATTAAATTCTTCTATGAGTAGTTTAAAAAAACACTTGTACATTTTATTGATAATACTTTTTCATATTCAATCTTACTACGAATGTTTTACCATGTTTGAACACACAAGACGTTCGGCCGCACCAAAGCAAATGCTTGTATATAAAGAATCTCTCCGGTATTTTCGCGAGCCTCGACAGAACAAGTATTAAAGTCAGTTTAATGCAGGTTCATGTCTGACCGTCGTCGCGATTCGCCACGGACCGCTTAGACTGTGCGACTAAAAGTTTCAGTACCGAATACGCGTGAAGACGAGGCTGAAACTCGCTAAAGCTTTCGCGGCTCGCCTGCTGACTCTGCTGTACGTCTTATCCGCACAGCAATCCAAACTTTGCTAAGTCAATAGCGGCGACCCTCCACGGATAAGAGGCTTCTGCGTCATGCTCTTCGATTAGTTTCGTTCCCGAGTCCCGGTACTACCGGCTGCGGAAACTTACGAGTCGTCACGACCGAGTGGTTTGTCTTTCTTCGTCTTCAACGACGGCTTCTTCCGTTACTTCGCTCTTTTATACTCCACCACGTCGGCGCACCAGTTTATGAAAGAAATAAAAAGATTTTGTTTCCGTCTCCGTGGTTAAAACACATCGTAATGGCGAAAAGTATTCGGTTGCAACGTATCGACATTGTTATTGGGCTTTGTGACGGATCGCGACATTTGGTCCCTTCACTGTCTATGGAACTTACAGTTTACAGAGAATGCCTGTACAATCTTTCAATAGCGTGTTCTTAAAATCAATTAAATCCATGTTACATGATATCAATTTATTATTTAGAACAATTAATTTATATTAGCTATTATATGTGAAATTAATCACTTTCCTACACACTACTAACAAGTTTACGAACCAAAGCACAAAATGATGTTTTCAAATTTAAGACGGATGAACTTTTCGCTTGTATCTGCGTATTATCACACAACTTAAAATTCTGATACAGTGACCGTGTTCAAATGGCAGATGAAAAAGCTAGTCTGCTATTTCGAGCAGTTGCATGTAATTGGATTTACAAAGAATTATAATTAAAAGTTAATTAATGCTAACTGTATATCATTTAGGTTCGATTGCATCAACGTTACTTTGACTTTAAGTAAAAGTTTAAAACTCTCTATCTCTTCCTCTTTCTCGATCGGCTTTAGAGAGAGAGAGGGGGGAGGAGAGAGAGAGAGAGAGAGAGAGAGAGAGAGAGAGAGACGGAGTGAAAATGAAAGTTATATGCTTCGCTCAAAGTTAAAGTAACGTTGATACAATCAGGCCTTACATAAGAAAGAAAAGAAATACTTCATAAATCTTTATTTACTTTATTAATATAAGTTAAGGAAAGGCGATCGGGCGGTACGAGGTGGCACGAGGTGGCACGAGGTGGCACGAGGTGGCACGAGGTGGTACGAGGTGGTACGAGGTGGTACGAGGTGGCACGAGGTGGCACGAGGTGACACGAGGTGGCACAAGGTGGTACGAGGTGGCACGGGGCGGCACGTCAGGACACATCACGGCACATCACGTTTATGCGTAATTATTGCGTAGTCATTCTCCTCCCGATGCTTGTACAGGTAATTCTGCTTCACATTTCCTTTTTGAAATCTTATTGCGAAGAATGCCAAATATAATATGAAACGTTATACTTGATGAATACTGAGTATACGATTACTAAGTACTTACAATTATTCAAGATATTTGTTATATTAATTCTGTGCCGCTTATAATTAAAGATTATATTTATATATAAAGAACATATACATATATAGTAAGTGCAAAAAGTAATCGTACAGAAAAAATATTTTAAAATTTTATTTTTAAAAAATTAATATTATCCAGCGAGAAATGAGTCATCGAATTGATGTCGAATATAAATTCGATGATTTCAATACCAATTCGACGTTTAATTAACGATCATTTCTTGTTGGATAATTAACAATTTATTCATAAAAAATAAAATAGACTGTATGTGTATATGTTTCTTAAAATTATATATACCAAAATGATGTTAATTATACAAAATATATTATCCGAAAAATAAGCGAAATTAAAAATTGTATTGTTTGAATGCTCAAAAAGTATTCGTACAGACGAAAAATTTAGCTTCTAAAATCAGGAATACATGCGAATTTGTTTGTTTATATTAGAAAAGAATATATTCATTGTATAAAATTGCTAATTAATGGTTATTTTCTACAAATAAGGCTTTTTTTATAATAAATTTCCTTGTACGAATACTTTTTGCTTTCACTATACATCAATCCGAGTTTTTCTTTAGAAATACGATTGCTAATAATTAATATTTAGCAGTCCACATGTGTAATTAATTTTTGAAATTAATGATATATATATATAAGTTAACGTATCGAGGCGACAACAATAACGTATTGAAGCAAATCACATTTCGCATCGTTTTATTGCGATCAAAATCATTTTCTTAACTTGGTGTTTAGAATTCAACAAATCTTGCATTGCATTGCAAATTTGAATATAATTTACCTATTACTTTTTCCGGATTAAGAATGCGAGATAAGACGTAAATGATAGAATGGCAGAATTAATATTTAACACAAGTGAAATATCTAAGATATAGATGAGTTGTGTGCATAAGAAATAAAGCAAAAACGGTGCAACAGACTACTCATCAGAGAATATTAAAAATGTAACGAATAAATTATTTTATCTATTTCGTAAATGCGTTAATATTTAGACGGTTAGCGCGCAACCTTGGAATTTGTTTTGGCGTGAAAAGGCGATCGGGCGGTACAAGGTGGTACGAGGTGGCACGGGGTGGCACGGGGTGGCACGGGGTGGCACGGGGCGGCACGGGGCGCCACGTCACGGCACGTCATGTTTACGCGTAGTTACCACGCAGTTATTCTCCTCCCGATGCTCGTACAGGCAGGTAATCGTGTGCTTTTCTTCACATTTCCTTTTTGAAATCTTATTGCAAAGAATGCCAAATATAATGTGAAATGTTGTACTTGATGAATACTGAGTATACGATTACTATACCTTGCACGTTAAATTTTAATTATTTATAAAAGAATTGAGATGACAATCATGCATCACGGAACAAATATTTCGTACGTATTCATTTGGTATTAAAACGCGATGGAAAATTTATTGCTATTTCACGATATTACGGACAACAATTATTCTTGTTTAACGTAAAATTTTTGTCTGGCTTGAGTATAACTCTTGATTTGTTCTTTGAACGATATCACACGAGTTATAAAAAAGTAACGTTAATAAACTCATGCAAATAACGCAATTTATGCGATTTCTACTTTCGCGATTTCTTTAAATTAATATAGTTTGTGTAATTAATTTAACTAATTTTTTTATTTGTGCATCTTTATACGATCCGTATAAACAATTAAGCGTAACTTTAAAACTATTTGTCGGTAATAAAAGAAATATTCCTCTTTTTTATTAATCTCTAGCTCATTCCATTTCTAATCATATCTTACAGAGACACCGTAATAAGAGATTCAGCCCTTTTATCTGCACTGAATTTATTTCGCAATAGTGACGAATTAACGAGTGCTTGTATATTCATTTCTAAAAGTCAACTATAATATATAATTGCATCGTGTGATGTAATATAGACAATAGCTATATCTTATATTTTTCGGTTTATCTTCCCTCTCACGGGTACACCTTGACGTGGTGAGGGGGCTCAGTACCCAGAGGATATTTACACGAAAAGAATGATTTTTCTCAAGTATCTAAAAATTTTCGGATATGTATATATCTAGATAAATTTTTAGATATTGAATAAAATCGTTCTCTTCATGTAAAAATCCTCTGGGAAAGCTAACGTACCCTCGTCGCCGTTTAATTGAAAATGAACGAACTGCAGCCGGTTCGTCGCGTCGCGCGTTTGTTTCGGGAGTGTCGTTCAAGTTATCGGACTCAAGTTATAGTCCGCGTGCGATTATAGTATATTATTCGCGAGTGTTTTTCGCGAGTGTCCTGTGCGCGAGGATGACCCAATTCTGAGAGGAGAAGGAGATCTGGGAGAGACGTCGGGCACCAATGGAATAATCTTGTGGTAAATATTTTTTACTTATGTAAAATTAATCTTTTTTTGTTTGTTCGTAAATTTTATTTTACAATTATTTAAAAATAATAATTAAAAAAAAGAGGAATTGCTAAAACATTTAAAACTTTTTACAAATTTATTCTTTTGTTTAATTATAATTCTTACTTATAAATTAATCTTACTTATAAATTAATTCTTACTTATTAAATTCAATCATATTCAATTGCTCGAAATAGTAAGCTCGCTATTTCGTTTGAACACATTGTATCAAAGTTTTGATACCCAGTTGTGATAATATTCGCGGATACAAGAGAAAAGTCTATTATATTCGTCTTAAAAATCGCAAAAAATCGTTTGAATTGTACAGCACGCCCCACCATGCCTCGCTCGTGCGTCATTATGTGCGTAACCCGCAAGGACTCCGAGCGATTATTCGGGTAGAGACGTGCGAGTGGAAAAGTACTGATGCGTGAAAGCTTTGATCTACAATTTTGTTATCATTTCTTAAATTAAAACGTGATCAACTGATAATTGTAAAAGCGTACAATTAATTTAATATAAGAATATTTATTTTGGATTTATTTTATATTACGTATTTAGGTATATAGGTATATAGGTATTTTGTAACGGCTGCTATACAATTCTCGACTTGTTTTTGCAAACAGTATATCGAATTTGGTATATATTGTGTATACAAGATCTTTGAACTTTCGGTAAATTTCAATATAATTTGTTTATCGGCCTTTCAAATTATCGCAGAAAATATCGTATCAAATAATTTCAAAATAATGAATAGCCGTGGAATATCGAGCATGTATTAATAATATATTATAATTGGTTCGGAAGAAGAAATAGAATATTTGGCATAAGTATTTTGTAAAATGTTACAATATTTCCGAGAATATTTTCGGATGGCCGTTACACCCAGATATTTACGGTGCGTCGCGGCACACAGTCCGTGCTGCGTAAACAAGGTCGTCACGCTATCATTCACGCGGTAACAGTCGAGCAGGCAGGTAGCGGTGCGTGTTGTTCTGCGTATCGTCATATTACTTTTTAAAAACGATTGCGACGGGCGACAGGAATACCCGATTATTCTCTCTGAATATTTTACGTTTATCCACTTGCGCTAATTAACTAGTACTTATAATTAACGACACATAAGCGTATTAAGATGACGAAAATAATGTCGAGGTAAATATTTTACGAGTTGTTTGAAGTTAATTATTTAAAGCACGAGAATCAAAGCGAACGGAAGATGGAAATTATGACTTTGTTGCGATATTTACGATTAATAATTATTTCTTTAATAATATTTGCATTCGATTGTATCTCATTTTCGCGCATTAAATTTTTTTAAATTACAAATGTAATTTGTTCATCGTTTTTAGATTGAAAACGTAATAAGCGAATCATCAGATCGAATGATTCAAGCGTCAGAAAGCCATGATACATTGACCATTTGTTAATAATACATTTATTTAGTGAGATTTACGCGATTTCAAATGTGTTGCATAATACTGAATTTTAATTATATATTTTTGAACAGTTTATCGGGTTTTAATTAGCCATTAACTTGATTTCATTAATTGTATTATATAAGATGTGAAATTATTGACTATTTACAAATTTTTCATTTATCAACTTTAATATTGCGATCATAGAACGGATTGACTCTAAGTTTATCGATGTCACAACGCGAGTTTAATTTAATAACTACAATTGTGCAATTATATTCGCATTTTAATATTTGTAAATTACATAGCACTTAGCGCTTGTATGCTAATGACTTAATTGTTAAAACTGTCCCTCTCCTTTTGAGATTTGCCAAAATTCAGATTATATTAATTTATGAAACATCGCATTGTGGACAATTAATAGTCTTATATAATTTTCACCTATGGCAATATAATGATATAGACTTTATGATTTATTTCAGAAGTGTCAGTGTTCAGAAGTGTCGTGATTTAGTGTTTTTGTGAGTGATTGTGCAAGACGAAGAAACTGAGAGGAGGAGGAGGCTGGGGAGGCATCGGGTGTCGGCGGAGCAACCCATGGGTGAGTTTATTATTTATTTAAATAATTTATTTTATTAACTCGATTAATTATTTGTTATTTGTAAATATATGGAATTAATTCTTCTAAAATGATATTTTATTAAATAATTTTATTTAAAAGAAAAATAAATAAAAATTCAATATTTGCAACGCTATATATTGAAATATTAATTATTTTAGGGCCGATTTGAAATAATCTGGATATATTTGTATTTTACAGATTAATATAGTTAAAACTCCGCTGCTGCGCATCGTATCGGTGAGTGTTAAATTCATTTGATTTTATTTTTTTATAATAAAATTTATGAAAGAAAATAATGTCATAAATATGAACAATATGTATGTAATTAAAAAATCAGATTTAGAGTATAAAATTATTACGGATAAACATAATTCATCATAGATTTATGACTCAATATGTCACTTAAAGAAAAAAATATTAAAGAAGAAATTATTAAATATTAAATATAAATGATATTAAGATTAGAAATAATAGAAACAAGACCGTTTAAATGAATACATAAACTAAATACGAGAAGAGCTAATTATGGTGAAAGTTATATGTTAGATTAATATATAGATATGTTTTTTGATTAAATTTATCTCAAAAAAATGACCACGCTGATTTCGGATTCTTGACCTAATCAATTAAAAATATTTAATATTTCTAATTACCTAAATTTCTAATTATCTAAATTAAATTAGATCGTTGATTATTAATTCAAAACCTATAAAAAATTTATTGCGGAAAACATTACGTCAGGATTTGAACTTAAATTTTCTATATTTTGTGCGAGAGACAATATAAACAGTATTTGGTATCTTCGATTATCTTTATCGTATAAATTCTTGAATTTTGATACTAAATTCAATCATTATTCAATTTGTTAAAATCTAAGAATTTTATAAGATATTAAAAATAATTACATTTCCATTAAATTTATGAGCTTGCAAACTTTTGATACTATTCAATAACTTTGATCATTTATAACTAGAAAACTGCACTCTAGACACTTTCGCATTAGAATTTTCGATTTTATAATTAATCTCTATAATAAGTTATAAAATATACGATTAAAGATGTCCCGTGCGTAAAGGATTAAATCTTGTTTTTGTTTATTCGTTTAATTATATGTGAACTGAAGCCTTTCTTTCTCTCTCTCTCTGTCTCTCTCTCTCTCTCTCTCCCTCCAATATCAACTTTGTCAATCAAAAGCACAATTGTACAATAATCGTCTTTTAGACAATTCCACACCGTCCTTCGAAGGTTTTAGCCGAAGAACTAAAGTTTGTTCTCCTCGGCTGCCCGGTACACGCTCGATGATTAAAGACGTGACGTGACTGAAGCAATGAACGAAATGCATGAAAGAACAAAAGAGAATACGTGGCCTGTATAGAAGAAGACGTAAGTTTCTTAAGCGCGGAACGCCGAATGTCTTTCGGGATTTCTTGCGCGTGGGAGATAAAGGAGGAAAGTCTCGATGCAACGAAGTTAGTCGTGTAAGGGGTTTGTAGACCGAACTCCTTTACACCGTTGATTGCAGTCCGCGTCACAAAGACCCGCGACGAGAGATAAATGCTGTTGGCTGTCTCTTTACAAGTCCCTACTCATTAACGGCGACGATAAGTTTAACGACTCCGCCTCGGTGTTTCTTCAGTTGAGTCTTCAGGAACTGCACACGTAATTTCAAATATCGGTTGAAGCTTTTACAAGATCATTGCAAAAGAGTCTTGTAAAAGAAGTTCCGCGCAATGAAATATTTTATAATTGTATTGGATATTCAGAACGATCTCCTGAGAGACATTTATTTATTTCGCATTCCATATAGATATTAAGAGATAATATACAAAAATATTAAGAGATAATATTTTACTTTTCATCAATTTGTAGAAATATATTATTATATTTTCTGATAATGATGACAAAATGTATTATCAATATTACAGAGAGCATCATGCAATTATAATTTGTTACATTGCGTTTTTATCAGATTATTAGCTTTTTATTAATTATTACGTGTGAATGCGCAAAATAATCCCAATTATTTCTTTGTGATATTAATGGCTTTAAAGCCTTTCCCATTTATTTTTCAATGATGATGGTTGTATCGTCAATGTATTTGTCGATGATGACTCTCGTCAGTAATTGTTAGGTCGTTTGTACCAGAAGAAAATTGGACTTTAATCCATTAGCGGGTACGTTAAATCGTTTTCATTGGGACTCTGTTATCTATTGGTGCCATCCGGGTTTAATTGCATATAATTAAGCCGCGTTTTATCCTTTTGAGCGTCGAACGTGTTTATGCGCTTGTAATGACGCTCAATCTCATTATGATGTCAAAAGTGAAGCGTATTTTTACGCGTTAAATGTTCCCGCTCTACGTCCACTAAACGGCGGTCAGACTGCAGTCAGCGTGGCAATTGGAAAGCGCTCGATGATTTAACCGGTAATTCGTTCACGCTTCAAAAAAGCGCTATGATATGTTATTTTATCGTATTGAGAGAAAAGTTGCGTTCATAGTTCGTATGCATGATCAATAGGTTTCTATCGAGTTATTCTATCCGTTTATATTTATAAATTTATAAAATCCCAATTTTACTTTTCCATACATCACATTTTGTAAATAGATTTACTGATTGGTCTATATAATAAACTTAATAAAAAAATCTTAAATAGAGTATAACGTATTTATAAATTAAATATGTATTTATAAATTACGAGTTTGTATTTATTAGTAAGTAAAAACTTATGTTTGATATATTATATTAAATATTATAACAATATCGAAATTATAGATGAAAAAGGGTAACTATATATACATTCATGCAAAATATGAATATTATTATACTGAATTTGTTTACTGTTAATTCATATAGTAGTAATAATTGATGAAGTGGACGAAATACAAACTTTAAATATTTAAATAATTAGCAACATTATAAAATATTTCACTCGTTAAAATAAAATTATGGAAAATTGTATCCGAATCTTGAAGAATATACAAAAATTAATAGAAATTAAATCAGAGTTGTCTATTTGAATGACAACTTTACTTTTTTTCGAGAACTCTATCTTATCTAAATTGAATGATTCCCAAATTATACGGAAGTGAAAAGCAAAACGATAAGGCATGCTATCTCTTTCGTTATACACCTTTGGTATATTCGGATACAGCAATAAGAAAACTTTTGCGAACGGGGCAACGCGTGTAGATGGGGGAACAAAAGCTATGCATAGATTTACATCGCGGACGCCGCGCTTCGATTCACCCCGTGGCAAGGAGCTTTATGGTCGTCCCAGTACTCCCGGAGGCTCAACCGCACCGATTTGTCGGAACTGTATGTCGGGAAACCGTTGAATCTTTGGGGACAAGCGAATTATTATTCGGGAATATTGATCGTTTCGATAGTTATGTTGCCTATCCTGCTTTATCTTCAAAGAGCGAAAAAGACTGTTGAATTCTCTCAAGAAGAAAAAACGTGATATAATATAATAGAAATAATATAATAAAACTAAGTTGCTTACTGGTACACATAAAAATAAAGAAACTTTCAATGAAGACTTATATGTAAGAAAATTCAACATAATGAAAATATATACATGAAATTTTTAAATTATTTGTATGAAAAATATTTTAGAAGTGAGTCATAGACATTTACACAATTTGACATTTAATAATAATTAGATATATTATCACAGAAAGAAATATAGGAATAGTTTGCTGAACCATTTAAAAATTTAGATACAGATTTGAAAATAATTATATTGGACACTTAAGTTATTTGTTAAATGACAAAATTTGTTGTAATTTTGTTATCATGCTTTGTTCTACATAATTATTTGGCCCAACATGATTATTTTCAGATCTGTACCTAATTTTTAGATTCAGTAAAACCATATTTTTATTATGTGTATATATATATATATATATATATATATATATAGTTATATTATTTTTAAAATTTAATTGATTTTCTTATAATGCAACGTAGATAAAATTAATTTATTTTTACTAACTTATTTATTTTCATTATTTCGATGTGATATTTAAAAGATTGATTTGAAAAGCTTCGTTGAAGTTTCTTTATTTACAGACTATTGCAGGAAGCTTATTTAGTGCAGTTTAAATGCAGTTTTGTCCAAATAGTTACATATCGTGACGCATCAATGCGTCTTTGTACATCGTATATTTCGTGGACAATGACGAAACTGCAAAAGTTTTACATGACACAGTTTTGCAGGGATTTGTTGGCAATCTGTGGCATTCAGTCACGCAGGCTTACTGTTTTCTGTTGTTTCGGATCATCGTGCCGATTTTTTTCCGATTTCACACCATGACAGGTGTATTTTTTGATCCTTCATACAAAACCACACCACTTCGCTTCATTCTATGCAACATGACTTCGTTAAAACGAAACGTTGCGCCGTCCGATTGTGTCAAACTGAATTTTCGCTCACGAGAACACCGTTAAATTTTTTGTGATGTACTCTGATCACAATAGACAGAGAGGATTCTGCATATCGCAATGCATATCGCGTGTAAGCTGTTTGCTTCTGAGATTAAACAAGTTTAATAATTTTTATTTACACTTTTATTTAACTCTTACTATTGTTATTTGATGTCTCAGAATATAATTGAAATACATTTGCTTGATGTGTCGTTTACGTCTAAACGAGCGCATAAATTTTAGTTGCGATTACTATCATTTGAAAGGGAATATGTAATAATTTATTTATGAAAGGAGAAGAGACTTTTGTTTGACGTTCCATTGAATGCGAATATTGAACAACTGCAACATTCGACGATGTTGAAAGCGATTCATGTTTGACTAGACAGCTTCGACGCTTATTTTTATTGCGGCGCGAGTATTCTTTATAAAATGTACCGTGGAGGGAAGAAAGTGTTCGCACTTCTAAGGACGAGCGCGGCAAATAATTTATTCCAAGCGAGAGCGAGAGAGCTCGTCTGTGGCGGTTGGTTGTGGATGGTGTCGTAGTGTACGATCTTAAATGAAAATGATTTCCCTGGAGAGAAAAAGCTGGGAAGGGCCGCGTGACGAAGGGACAGGCTAGGGAAGGGAGAACGTCTTAGGTTAACCCCTAGGTCCCGAAAGAACCGCATCCACTTTATCGTTCATCTCTCTTCGAAAATACGAGAGGAATATAAACTCTTACGAATTAATGCTATTCTACTTGCGGTTATCCGTGAAACGAACTCATACCATTTCATTTCTTGATGGAAGAGTCTGATGGACCTT